GGGGAAGTGGTATGGGAGTAAATGTTGGTGTGGGACAAAATCTACGTTGATATGTATCCTTAATTTCTCTCCTAGAGTGATTCCTTCCTATTGTACTGATTGGCTATATTAAGCCAATCCTTGTAATTGTTTCTCTGTAAAAAATACATGCATACACATTCTATCTCCTTGATCTTTATATGGTATCACAACGTACAAACTCCAAAGAGTTGCCGATCCAATCTCTCACTTCACAGCCTCCGACCTAGTCTTTTTCTTCAAAAACCTTGTGCTACAATGAGCTGTAAACCGATTATCCAAATTACCAGTACAACCCACTTTCGGATTAAACTCACATCAAGTAATTTCCCAGTCTACATCAAATTGAGTGAACCCTAATCGAGAATGAGCTCGACTCATTCCTTATCGGTGAACAACAACATCCATTGTGTGTTCTACTTGATAACGAAAAATCGATGCCAAACCCAGCCTATGTTCCTTGGTACAAACAAGATCAGGTGATTACTAGTGCAATTCTACAAGCTATTCGGATGAAATTTAGTCTATAATATGATCTGCTATCACTTCTTGGGACGCCTGGGAACTCAAGCTTTACCGGTAGATCAAGATCTCGTGTCATTTGCCTGAAATCAAAACTTGTCAAAAACCCAAACACCAATCGATCTGTTGCAAAATACCTTCAAGATATGTGCTCCATAGTTGATGACCATTCCCTGGCACAGAGTCCTACTGTTTAGGAAGACCTTGTAGTTAATATTGTTTCACAGCACGGTGACGAATTTAGTACAATTGTAGCTGCTCCTAAAATATGTGAAAACCCATTGTCATATCTAGAATTGTTTGACAAAATTAATAGATTTCGAAAGGACATTCAAAGAAAATGCAACAACCACTAAATCCATCTTAACTACTGTCAATTATACTACTCGACATCAAGGCCGCCCAATGCCTCGCCATGATCATAATGACTCTTTCAAAACCAAATCGGTCCATTAACATCACCTCACAGGGTTAGCACAACCGAAACCAAGCCATGAACAATAACTCAAGTGAAAATCGCTCAACGCGCTCCAATTTCAGGCACTTATTCAATATCCCAGGTCATAACACTATGACTACAAAAAACTCTCTCGCCTTCTTCGGAAAAACAACATTATTGTTACTTCTTCAACAACAATGCCAGTGGAAAATGTTACAATGTCTGGCTCGTCTCAATTTCCACCTACCTGGCTATACGATAGTGGTGCTTCAAATCAAGTTGATCCACACTACAAAATGTCTCCGACTATGGTGATCTAAATAAGATAATACTCAGTGATGGTAACAATTTACACATCTCTCACATTGGTTTTAAACACATCAACACACCCAATAAAACTTTATCTTTACCTAATGTATTGTGTGTTACACATTTACGTCGTAATCTTATTTCTGTTCCTAAATTATGCAAAATGAACCAAGTTTCTGTGGGATTTTTTCCTTACTCATTTTTTTGTGAAGGATCTTCGCATGGGGGCACGTCTAATACGATGCAAGAACAGTGAAGATGTTTATTATGCTCACCTTACATTCAATTCACAACTTAATGTCACCAAAAAAACTTTTCCACTCCCTTGGCATCATAAATTGGGACATCCCTGCATATTGTTGAGACAGGTCTTGTCCTACTCTATTAAGCCAACCTTCCTCTTACCTACTGGACTCATGCTTTCCAAACTACAGTATATCTCATAAATAGTCTTCCCACACCCATTATAAAAAAAAAACCCCTTTCAATGTATTTTTCATCAACCACCAAACTACAATAAGTTAAAATAATTTGGTTGCCTTTGTTTTCCGTAGCTTAGACCATACACTACCTCCAAGGTCCATCCCAAGCATTTTTCTTGGCTAGTCCACTTCCAAGTCTGCCAATAAATTCTTTGATCCAATCACCAGATGTCTCCATCACTCCCGTCATGTTGAGTTTATAGAAACTAATTTCCCCAATCATGCCACCAAATCTCCTATCCTACCCACTATGATACCATTACCCATGTCCCATATTCATCCACCACTTCTTTCCCAATTCCTACTTCATCCACCTCATCCACCTTATAGTCATAAACACCTCCTATGCATCCTATTTCTTTACCTTCTCTTGTACCCACTCAACATTTATCCACTACTCCCCTTGCCCATCCTTCCCCAATGTCTCCCACTCACCCCACTCAGACTACTAAGTCCACTATTGACCCATCTATCACCATTTACCAATATCAACCTCCTCCTATCCAGCTAGAGGACCTCACACCAACCTCTCCATCTACTCTTACTACACCCACTCCCACCACCTCTCCTACTGTATCTACCACCTCCATACCCACCCCTCATCACTTCCATCAAGAACTAGAAAACAAAATAAAAAACATTTCAATCCCTCATTCATAAACTCCACCACAGTTCATCCTATTCCCCCATCATTGAACCCCATACCTATAACCAAGCTCTTAAAGACCAAAACTGGAGACAAGCTATGAATCAGGAATTTAATGGCCTCATGCAAAATGGAGTTTGGAAACTAGTTCCTAAAGCTTCTCACAACCCCATTGGTTGTAAATGGGTCTTCTGGACCAAACAAAATCTGGATGGAACCATCTCTAAATATAAAGCTCATTTTGTTGCAAAATGATTCCTTCAACAATATTTTCAAGACTACTTTGATACCTTGAGTCCATTCACCAAACCGATAACCATACTTGTCATTCTATCTATTTCCCTTTCACAAAATTAGGCACAAGGCCAAATTGATTTTAATTTTGCTTTCCTTCATGGTACTCTACATGAAGAGGTCTACATGACCTAACCACCAGGCTTTGTTCATCCTCAGTTCCCAAATCATGTTTGTAAGCTCATAAAGTCCATATATGGTCTAAAGTAGGCACCATGGGCCTGGTACATGGAACTTACGTCCTTCCTCCATACTTGTGATTTTCGTAAATCCCAAACATATGCCTCTCTACTCATTTATAATCACAACATCATCTGCTTCTTTATGGTCTATGTGGATGACGTTGTACTCACAGGAAACAATATTCCTTTCTTACAAACTTCATTCACACCTCAACAAATTTCTTCTCCATTAAAGATTTTGGTTCTCTACACCACTTTCTTGGAATTGAAGTTATTCATACTTCTCATGGCCTATTTTTTGTCCCAACATCGCCATATTCAAGATCTCGTAACCAACTTTCATATGGATGGTGCAAAAGATGCGGCGACTCCACTAAACTCTTATATTATTCTCAACTGCATGGACGGGTCACCTAGTGTTGATCCTACACCTTATAGGAAACTGGTGGGATCATTATAGTATTTGGCCTTCACATGGCCAGACATATCGTTTGTCATTAATCCTCTTGCCCAGTTTATGCATGCTCCCACTCAGATTCATTGGCAAGCTTTGAAATGTGTTCTCCGCTACTTAAAGGGTACAATTCATCATGGATTATTTCTCAAAAAAGGGAACTCTCTTAATCTCAAAGCATTTTTGGACTCATATTGGGGAGGGATCTCGAATGGAGACCGTTCAACTACTGCTTACATACTCTATCTAGGCTCAAACATTATCTCCTGGAAATCGACACGACAAAAATATGTCTTAAGGTGATCCACTGAAGTTGTGTATAAAGCATTAGCCAATGCAACATCTGAGGTCTCGTGAGTGGAAAAAGCTTCTCAGTGATCTTGGTGTCACTCAAACCTCTCCACCCATACTTTTGTGACAATACAAGTGCCACGTACCTATGTGCTAACCCACTTTATCACTCTCGGATGAAACACGTTGCATTAGACTACCACTTTGTCAGGGAAAAGGTCGCAGACGCCTCTCTCAAAGTACTCCACATTAGATCCCATGATCGTTAGCAGATGCCTTAACAAAGCCTCTTTATCGAGCACCATTTCTCAGACTTCGCTCCATGATATCTGACGGATCCCCCATCTTGCGGGGGCGTATTAAGGACCAAAGATACACACTGTAATTATGTATCCCTAATTCCTCTCCTAGATTGGTTCCTTCCAATTGTATTGATCGGCTATATTAAGCCAATCCTTGTAATTGTTTCTGTGTAAAAAATATATGGATACACATTCTATCTCCTTTACCTTTAGAGGGCCACTAATTTAAATAAACACTACAATGAGGATATCATGAATTTCGAAACCCTACTATTTTTCTGTACCCTTTTAACTTGTCCATCCCTTTGTAGATCTGAAAACATAAACCACAGCCGCTATGTCATCCACAACATCATCACCTGCCGAGGCCTGAAATCTCCAACATTTGTAATTTCAGGGGAAGAAGGTTGACTTTGTGTCTGCAAGTTCTTGTGTAACATAAGTGTTACATCTCTCCTAGAACATTAGTCCACACATCAACCTTTGTAGTTTGGAAAACGATGATCAAATACAATTAAGAAATTTCTTATCTACTTCGTATCTCCAGCTTCATGAAATTAGGGTCGACCTAGAAATGATAAACGACTAATGAAGATCTAACAACCATGTGCATGATTTTTAGTGTTCGACTCCTACCTTTTCTGCCTGATGCCATTGGTTTGTAACAAATGTGGATTAGAATCAACTTCAAGAGATGGAAGCATACGTAATTTATACAACTGGTTTATTTTGGTGAATCGTGAATTAAGCTAATATAAAGATAATGGGCACCTCATTAGAGCATGCGTTCATTAGATGAAGCTTCAGCTTTAAATTGGTAAGAAAGAGTGTCCGGATGTTAATAATACTATATACCTACAAAATAATGTCACACATTTGAAGGTTAATAGAAAATAGAACACTGGCCCATGAAAGCAGATAGTAGACGAGTGTGAGGTCAAGTCTTCACACTTTTTAATATTTGCAGCATCGTACAGTTTACTTTCTTATATTTATTTACATAAGAATAATTGTATTTTTTTTTATTTACATGAACAATTGTATTTGATATTTCAGAGTCAACCCGATATGATTTCATTTCGATAGCATTGATACAAGACTTGCGAGATATCTTCAATTGACAGATTTTTGTCACGAGTTGGTTGAAGACCCTTTGAAACAAGTTGAGCCAACTCGAATGCTCCCTTTGGAAGATGATTATTATGCTGAAGTTGTGGGTCCATAATTGTTCCCAAATTTACCTTATTTGTTAAGCAATGGAGTAGCCCATTCCATCAAATTTTTCTGTTCGAGGGGTATCCTTTCATCATACTCCTTCATCCCAATTAGCATTTTCAGCAGTACCACTCCAAAAGCATAGATCTCACTCTACACTCCAGATTCTGCTAAAGAGGTTTTGGAAGATGATTATAAATAACACCCTTGTTTTTGGAAATACTTATAAAGGTACTGTTTTCGAAAGGAAAAAAAAAACTGCCCCTTGTTTTCAGAAAAATGAATGTATATATATATAACATATTCATATAAAATGGTGTTACAAGTCAAACTCTTATAAGGGGATTAGTTAAGATCCTTGTACTATAAAAGGACGTAAGAAACTGCAGGGAACTCTAAAGGAATGTTTGTGTTAGAAAAATGTTATAAATTTTATTTAAAATGAAAGGGAAAACTGCAATAAAGTCCTTACATATTGGTCTTATAATCGATGTAGTCCTTATATCTTTTTTTTATTCAATTAAGTCCCAAAAACCGGTAATCCTATTCATTTTAACCCTTTTACCCGGTCAACAGGTCATCCAACTTTAATAACTTACATTTTTGGCCAAATTTTCAAAATTTATTACAAACTTGGTCCATAATTTATACTTTTGGCCCGTGTTTTAAATTTTATTACAAATTTGGTCAAAAATTACCCTTTTGGCCCAAATTTTAGAATTTTGTTATGAATTCATCCTAACTTTAGTTGTTTTTACAATTTTTTTTCTCAAAATTTTGTTTCAAATATGTTTTGTCTTTATAAAATCATATTTATAGAAAAAAAAAACATATTTTTCACATAAAAAATCTTATATTTTCTATATAAAAATTTTTATTTAAAAAAAAAACTTTTTTGTATACGTAATATCTATTTATAAAAATAGGTATTTATTAAGTACATAAATACACAAATCCGTTTTTATAAAAAAAATGTATACAAACATCTATTTTACAAAAAAAATATATACAAACACCTATTTTATTATAAATACATTTGTTCGCAAACACATATTTATAAAAAAATGTAAAAAACAACACATATTTCATAGTAAATATATACGTTTCTTTTGTAAAAACATATTTATATGCACCCAAATAGGTGTTGTTTAACATTTTTTTTTATAAATATGTGTTTGCATACAAATGCATTTATAATAAAATAGGTGTTTGTATACATTTATTTTTTGTAAAATACATGTTTGTATATATTTATGTACTTAATAAATACCTATTTTTATAAACATGTATTTCGTATACAAAAACGTTTTTTAAAAAAAGCTTTTATATAGAAAATATAAGATTTTTTATGTGAAAATATGTTTTTATTTGTATAAATATGATTTTATAAAGAAAAAACATATTCGAAACAAAATTTTGTGAAAAAAAGTTGTAAAAACAACTAAAGTTAGGATGAATTCATAACAAAATTCTAAAATTTGGGCCAAAAGGGTAAATTTTGGACCAAATTTTTAATAAAATTTAAAATCTGGGAAAAAAGTGTAAATTTTAGACAAAATTTGTAATAAAGTTTGAAATCAGGGCCAAAAAATGTAATTTTAAAAAGTTGGATGACCTGTTGACCGGGTAAAAGGGTAAAAATGTTAAATTGAATACGATTTTCAGTTTTTGGCACTTAATTGAATAAAAAAAGATATAAAGACTATATCGATTATGAGGCAAATATGTAAAGATTTTATTTTTTAGTTTTCCCAAAATGAAAAAGATGAAAGTAAGTAAGCAAGTTTAATCATTGCAACCCTTGCAACCTAACCATTATATATATATATATATATATATATATATATATATATATATATATATATATATATATATATATATATATATATAGAGAGAGAGAGAGAGAGAGAGAGACAGAGAGAGAGGTGGGGTCCACCTCTACGGTATTGAAAAAAAAAGCATAAAGAATAGTTCAATGGCGTATCAATATTTCTCCAGATATATTGAGAATGTACAAAAAATTTCATTTTTACAAAAGAACATACCATCTCCACGCACAGGTCCAAAAAGACCATCCAATTTGTCTCTTTCGAAAGTAGAGCAGCCAGGTGGGGCAAGTAAATTGTCTATTTCATAATCGCAAAGCCGAGCATTAAAATCCTGAAAATAAGCAAGAAAAGAAAAACTAAAAATTATATTACTTTTTCCATGCAAAATGCAAGCAAGTCAAAGGCAGTCTACATTACCCTGTCCACCAATATAAGATTGCCCTCAAAATTGTTATACGCTGGACGATTCCTCTGATGGAAGAAAGACAGGCCTTGAGCTGCTCCTTGTGCTATTTTCAATCGTGCAGCCCAAGAAAGTGGAGTTGTATTTGGTGCTGCTTCAAAATAGTTAACAAGTCTTGATTCATTAACATGTATCCAATCTCTAAGATGGAAATCCAAAGAGTTCTATAGAAGTAAAAAATAGAAGATATGCTTACAGCTTACCTTTGAATAGATGATCATCTAAACGTATCGCTGGAATGAGCTCGTATACCCAAAACATAGTTACATTAGCCAAGCAATATCCCAAGAGTCTGGTAATATTGGGATGACAAAATTCTAATAGTTTCAAGTCCAACTGCACAGCCAAATTGCCAATGTAGTTCAGTGCCTTAATATATAAGCTAGAAAAGATCACAAAGCATGAAAAATACAAGGTGTATTAACTTTGCTATCCAAAATAAGTCCCATGTCATCATTTTACATATTGAAAGTACCTTCCAGGTTAGAATCTCCTCCTTCCTAACATATATTGCCAAACCAACACCAGATTCTGTAGGACCATATGACTTTTCATCAACCCAACCTTTGTAAATGGATCCATTAGAAGTTGGAGAACGCTCCATGTCTTTGAAATCATTTGTTATACTTACCAACTCATCGTATGTGAATGTTCTGATATTTCATGTTGTAGATTTCTGGATATGGTGAGCACTATAATCAGATTTGCTAACGAATTTACCATCCTGCTTCACAGATTTGCATCAAAATCTGAAATTTTAGCAGCAAAGTTTGCATCCAACAAAATATTGGACGTCTTCACATCGCGATGTATAACTCCATTTTGTGTTGATGTACCTGTGTGAAGGTAGTCTAATCCCCGAGCTGCACCTACGCATATCTTGAGTCGTTGTAACCAAGATAATGTGGAATCAGCTTTGCAAAGATGATCTTTAAGTGTCCCATTGGGCATTAACTCATAAGCTATGAGCATCTCATTTCCTTTTTTGCAATAACCAACCAGAGATACAAGATTACCATGCCGCAGCTTAGAAAGAACCTTAACTTCTGCCTCAAATTCATGGGCCCCTTGGGTGGACATGGAGTGCAACCTTTTAACTGCAACTTCTCTTACTAACCCTATCTTGATGGGACATTTATAAACATTGCCCAATTACTAAAGTCTCGTCAAAGTTGTTGGTTGCCAATTGAATCTCGGCAAGAGTAAACTGTTGACATGTCTGCTCTCCCAGTAGGAGTGAGGAGTTGGTATTCGTGATAGGTACATCTGACATTCTCGGGCACCGGGCCTGGGCCTTTGATTCTACACGATACCACTTCTATCTGAAACAGAGCTCCGGATTTGCGGGTGAACAACTGATAGTTTTGTGTGGTTTTTGTGCGGTTAGTTACGCCTAATTTTTGCACTAGAATCAGAAAACATAGACTTCAAATTCCAATCCCAACTACCAATTTTGAGAATCCTGTGTTTCTAAATTGTCGAAGAAAGGATTAAAGGTAGGTTTTTTTGTCTTCTTGCAATGTTCATGTTGAGAGTAGAGACAACTAGGAGAAAAAAAAAAGGAGAGGATTACGAGGTGAGTGAAAAATGTTCCAAAACCTGGTTGAACTTGACGGAACCCCAACTCGATACCTCATGATTCCAGGCCGCTTGTTGACTTTCTGTTCATATGTTTCCCCCGTCCAAAAAATTGGTCGCCAGATGGATTCATCCGGGTGTCGGCATTGCGCTCAGTAGTTTTAATAGAATTCTAGAGTAAATTACGAAGGACTCCATCTATTCATATCTTGATAATTGAATATGGGCAAGATTAAACCGTTGACATGTCTGCTCTCCCAGTACAAGTGAGGAGTTGGTATCGTTGATATCAGGCACGGAGCCTTTGATTCTTCACGATACCACTTCTATCCAAAACAGAGTTCCGGACTTGCAGCAATTCCAATTCCAATCCCAACCACCAGTTTAAATAACCTTGTTTTATAACTCGGTGCTTCTAAATTGGTGTTTAACAATCCCTAATTTAGTCAACGGTTGAGAGAAGGAATGAGGATCTGAGGAGTTTAGAGGATTTCTAGGCGAGTTAATCACGTTCATATTTTTTCCGTCTCATCCAAAAATTTAGTCAACGGATGGTTTCATCAATTTAGTCAATGGATGGTTTCATCCAGGATGCCTTGAGCACTCCTAGTGGTTTGAACCCAACCCACTTATTTTGGTTTTTGGGTTTTAGATCGGTTCATCGGTTATGGGTTCAACCTATGGGTTCACGGATTTTGGGTTTAAACGTATTTTCTAGGAAATATAAATAAACTAACAAATTAATTCATATTTTTTACAGCCATTTAAAATAACTAAAAACATCAAAGTTAATTACATAGTTAAAACAAATATTAAAAGTATCAAGTTTTGATGTTCATAACGAAAACGTGAAAATCAAAGTAACATAGAAATAGTTAATTGCAACTAAAAGTCCAAAACATTAAAACAACATCAAGAGTCAAAACACCAATCTTCAATCTTCATCCTTCCAATCGCTTCAACATTTCTCAATTCATCTACAAACAAAAAATGATTAGTATTGAGTTATAAAGTTGTAATTATGCAAAAGTACTTACCAACTTCTATTCCTGCCAACTTTTCTTGCAATTCTTCCACATGTGCATCCGTCATGTTTTTAAATTAAATATCAATTGGGGTGGAACATATCCAATCATTGGTGCAAATCAAAGCTTTCGAGGTTGCATCCGTAAGGGAGCTTCTAGTTGCATTAACCACCCTCTGTCAACACTAAATGTCGACTCTAATGCAGGGATACAGATAGACATTCCTAAAACATGTCTCGCAACTTAAGAATGTACACGAAACTATAGAGAATTTAGTTTCATCCAACTTAACATAAAAATCCTCTACCCTCTTTTCCATTTCACCCCACAAATAAACTCCAACCTCTGTTTATTAACCCCTTGCCCATGTTTTTCCATAAATCTTGCAAAACTGGCTTAAATTCAGGCATGTGCATACCTTGAATTTTGTGCAGTATGTGACATCCCCATTTTCACGACCAGAAAAGACCGATTTATTTATGCTTTATTTGAAAATTAGAGTAACCTTTTAAAGAAATGTGTTGCGGAATTTGTTCCCAAAAGAAAAATATGATAAAGATTTATCAAACAACTTCCGAAGAAATGTATTTCATTATATTAAAACCTCAGGATGTCATGTTCGATACAGATCAAAAGTATAAACAGAACAACATTAGTCTTACAACATTTATTTATATCTATTGGCCTATAACCCATAATCCCTCATCAAGTCATCAATTATGCTCTTGTGCCACTACCTGTAATACAAGAAACTGAGTGGGTCAGGCTTGGGAGCTTGGTGAGCACCTAGGGTTTTCAACCCACAATAAATAGTTTATTAGTTTCATCATATCAATCAACCCGATTACCCGTTCCTGTTATCCTCACTTTACGTCCCTAAAACATCTATCATAAGGGACCTATGCTAAGGATTTTCATCAGGATGGACAATACTGCTAAGGGGATTCCTCAATAATAATTGTCTGTAAGGCGACCATGAGGGGGATTGAGTACACCGGTGAACACAACATTCACAAACACCTACAGGTTGCGAGCCTGCTAGCATTCCACTAGACTGTCTAGAATAGTCTGTGGTCGTCATCTATAATCCGCTAGATTACTGGATCATCGTCAACAACGAGGTCTCTCATCATTTTATCACATATCGTCTATTTCATCTACGCATGTTTTACCCCCAACATTTTTGTAGATATAAAATACATATACAGTTTAAATCATTTAATACATGTATAAAAACGTTCATCCATCATAGATATCAAGTAAACAAATAATATGTACACATAGCACGTAATTTATATAAACTACTTCATATCTATGTGTAATATGAAAGTAACTATGCACTTACCTGTTAAGGTGGTGATTCTGAACTCAGACAGCGCTTCGATTCTTAAAAATAATTTCCTTTGACAAAACCTAGTATCATTACCACTAGATTTTAGTCTAATGTTCATCGTAACTAATTAATAGTCTTAGTATTATTATAATTATATAATGTTGGGTATTAGATGTTGCGTCATTGGTCTCTTTGTATAGTCTGTTTTGTTAACGAGTTGGGCCTGTCCACTTGTCTTTATTTCTAGGGTTAGAGTATTTAAGATGCATCCATGCATCGTATTTTGTACGCTTTTGATTATCTCTCTGTAACCCTAATCACGCCTCTACAGTAGCAATTATTTATAGAGTTCTTCTGAGGCGTGACACTTAATCATTCGACATTCTTGAATCTTTGTTGTATTCTTGTTTTAATTGTTCTGAATCAAATCGATCTTGAAGGATTTTAATCCTAACAATTGGTATCAGAGCAGGAGACTGTGTAATCTATACGCATCTCTTCTGTTAACAAGGTTTTAGGGTTTCCGTTAATATAGGATCTTGTTTTGTCGTCTTCATTATCATTCTGACGACACAAAGTGATCTTGATATTACCCTATAAACTATCTTAGTTTACACGTCTGATTCTCTACAGCTATCAAAGAAAACATCATCATGCAACACGACGATTCTCACATCAACTCCATTAATATTTCAAGCAGTATAGGATCAACAACAAGGATCTCGATTCTCTTCCCTCATGAATATGAAGTTTGGGCGCTTTATTTCGAAGATTATGTTCTTGGATCAGATGATAATGAGTATTTGATTTGGGAAGCTATTACTCTATGTCCTTTTGTTCACACTTAAACCAAAAGAACTATCAAAACTCAAAATGAATATAACCAGATGCTCCTCGATGTGAAAGATGTTCCTCAGGACGAGAAAGAGAAACTCATCAGCAACGTTAAACCAATGAGGATCATTAGATTCGCTTTGCAGTCTGATACTTTTCGTTTAGTCAGTTCATGTGATACTGCAAAAGCAATATGGGATAGGCTCAAGGAACTTTACTCTACTGATGCAGATCTAGAGCACTCTACCCAAACACTCCTGCTTTCAGAGTTTGGTGATTTTGCATAGAAGCCAGAAGAAAATATGAGCCAAACATTCAATCGCTACAATCATCTTCTTAGCAAGATGGTGAAGCATGGTATTGGACATGAGGTGATCGAACAAAAGGTTACTCTCATGAATGGGCTTAGATCTGAGTGGATGGCAGTGGTTTCTACCGTCAAAGCTCACGAGCAGTTCAAAACTTACACTTTAGCAAAGCTTGTTGGGATTCTTAAGGTACATGAAAGTGAAGTGTCGAAAGAAGCGAAAGTTGTTTCAGGTATGGAGTCTTTAGCTCTTGTTGCGAAGGGCAAGACAGTTATACAGGAAGAATCTAAGTCTGATCTTTCTGAATGTGATCTTACGAATGAGGAATATGATTTAATGGTATCTAATCCCAAGCGGTTCGCAAGGAAAATTTTCCATCAAACAAAAACCGAAACTGGCAGGGCAGCTACAGTTCGGAAAAGGTGAAAGAGGAGAACAAAAGTGCTTCTCAAAAGGAGGAAGACAAGAAGGAGAAAAAGCTCATGGGTGACTCCGACTATGACTGCAACTATTGTCATGGCAAAAATCATTTGGCCAAGGAGTTCATGCTGAGAAGAGTAAATGAGAAGAAAGATGGAGAGGATGATGAGACTTACCACATGCGAAAGTTAGAGGAAATCAAGAAGAAGAAGACTGCTGATAACTTTATGCCTGCTTTGATCGTGCAGGAAAATGTAGCAAAAAACGAGTTTGGAGGAGTTGAAATCTGGTCAACTGTCTCGGAAGATGACAAGGTTCGCAAGCCCACACATGGCAGGGCGTTTGTTGCGAAAGAGGAGAGTTCGCAGTTTGTAGGAAGGTGTTTGATGGTAACAAGTGATGGGTCACAGATGCAGGAGTTTGCTACTAGGAGTGGAAGAAGAGATGATAGTTGTTTCACTGCAAGACCAGTTCCTGAACAAATCAACGAATGTGAACAGCTGATCAACAAGGTAAATCTAATTCTTGATTCTTTCAATATACCTGTGTCTAGATACGAAACTGAATTAAACGACCTAAATTCACTTTTTCAAACATTAGTGACAGTTTAAAAAGAACTCGTTTGTCAAACTGTAACCTAAGTGATCAAATCAGCAGGGTTTCGTCGAAAAGCGATGAGAGGCGAATGTGGATTGAGAAGATTGAGTCGGATTTCTCTAAGTCTAGGGATCAATTAATTTACTTGCAACGAGACAATTTGATGCTTTTAAAACAACGTAATATTTTTTGTTTGATTGGTAAAAGGCTTTACTTTAACATTACCCAGTTGCACCTTGATTGTGACATTGGTGAGAAAATTCACAAGATGATCTTACCATTTCCCGAATTAATGGAAGATGAAATTGATGCCGACTGTTATAAATGTGATACCATCATCTCATCTGACGAGACTTCTGATGTTTACAGGGTAGGACTAGAACGAATTGAATCATTCATTAAGTAAAGAACACATAAACATGTTAAAACAACTTTTGGACGAAAATGATAAGAAGCAAATTAAAACTAACACTATACAGAAATTCGATTCATTGAGTACCAAATTGAGTTCAGAAAATAAAATAAATGTTGAAAGCACATCTGAATTCGATGAGGACAGTGATCTGATCGAAATCTCTGTAGAGGATGAGGTTTATTGCTCAGAGTTTGTTAAAACCGAAAATGAACCTACGAAAGGGTTGATTTCTGAAAACTCGGTTGAGTTCGCACGTATCTCTCAAAATAAACCTAAAATTTTAAAAGCTAAAGCAACGGTTTTTCCCAAAGTGCAAAATGTCCCTAATCAGGTGTTTACTACTAAAGGACTGGACAAAAATCAAACAGTCGAACTAACTTTCATTGTCAACGAAGACAACAAAGATGGTTGTGATGAGTTCTTTTGGTCCGCACCTATAGACAATGCAGGAGAACGAAGGGTCTGTCAGAACGAACTTCGTGGAGAGTAAAAGGAAGATATGTGGCAGAACCGTTGAACAATAGGTCAGGCTATGAGAAAGGAAGTTCAAGTGGAACTA